CATCAACTGGAGCAACAAAAACACTTCACCCATCAGAAGCCAAATGATATTATAATTTCTTTCCCAACTCCTAATACTAATTAATATAGAGGAATAAATACGTTAATTAGGCATTCTGTAGGATAACATCAATTTAATATGAAAGAGCATCTATGTTNTATCTTTCCCAACTCCTAATACTAATTAATATAGAGGAATGAATAGGTTAATTAGGCATTCTGTAGGATAACATCAATTTAATATGAAAGAGCATCTATGTTATTATGAAAGAGCATTTAAATAAGTCGAGTTTATGTCGTATCATATTAAAATTGTTTATTGGGCATAAGCCTTTATTTTTTTTTAAAGAAAAGAAAAAATTTTATTTCCAAAAAAGAATGAATTACATGAAGCAAAGAATAAGAAGTTCTAAAACAAATGAAAAATGGCTTTAATCCTACAAGATGGATTAAACCATTTCTAATTACAATCAAAAGATGTCTAACAGCTGAGATTAACTGTCTGCAAACCACACTCCAATGTACCAGTCAGCACAACAAAGCAGACCAGCAAAATAGAACAGCCCAGCAATTAGACCTTCAGATCATTCAGCGAAGCAGCAACTCTATGCTCTAGGTCAGTACAGAATTGCAGACAACAATCAATGCAGTCCAATACAAAGCAAAAACTCCATCTCCTCCATCCATCATTCCACAACAACAATATCTGTGTTCTGATCCCTTTGCCACAGATCAATTCCTAGAAAACCATGCTACCACAACATTGCAATTGCTCAGAATGCACTGCCAGATCAGTAATTCCAACAGACAAAACATAAATCCAGTAAAGTCAGTATTAGCACCCTTTGATTGCAGCTAAGAATCTGCTTCAACTACAAAATATCTGGGAAAACAATTAACCAAAACCATCACCCCTTTCTTATTAGCCAACATCATTGCATTCAACTACTGAACAGACTTCAATTTCCAAGCAAGCATCAACACAGAAACACTTCAAGCTTAGAAAGTATTGTTATTGAAAGTATTACAGTTATCACAAGAAAGGATTTACAGTATAGAAATCACTATGGCAAAGCACATCATCAACTAGCTAAGTTCAGCATTGAGTGTTGAGGAAGAGAAGAGAGTAAAAAGTGAAGCAGAGAAACTTTACATTGTCAATGAAAACGGTGCTTATCTTTAGAATCATTCCATTGCTCAATTGCCCTTAACTCTCAGACGCCAGTTTCCTCTTCGTTACTCCTAATCGACATATCTGGAGAAAACCAGTTGATCTTGATCTAGATGATTGTTGTCCAACTAAGATGTGCCATTGACCACTTAGCCAGGTTTTGTTTACCTTTGTACACTAGTTGGAATAGTCCTAATCGAAGAACTCTATCAATTACATAGAATACCAAGGGAATTGGTGTGTAGTAAGAGGGGAGAGGGGGAGGGGAAAAGAATGTGAGGGGTACTATAGGGATAAAGCAGCTTCAACATTTACAGAAGAGTTTAGACAAGCATCATTCTCGGTGAGACTCTGGCAAGATCAAGAATTAAGCTCTGATCTCAACTACATTTTCTAAAGAAAAACTAAGAACATATGCTCAAGGTTTTTGCAACTACAAATAGAGAACACCATTCTGGGGAAAACGTGAGCCAATATTTTGTCAGGGAAAAAAAAAGTCTAACTGGTCTGAGCACAAATTTTGAGCTGAGAATAACAGCTAATAATGTCTTTTCCCCTTTGGAAAACAACCATCAGAGCAGCGCCCCAATTGCGTGTTAAAATAACTAATAATTTGTAAATAACCTAAAACCTATTATATGAATTGATAGGAAGGCCTTGGCACATCAATAAAGTTGTTCTACTACCTTAAAATTTTTGTAATGACCTCTTGTGATTTCATTGCCAACTGCTTGAGTTTTTCAAAAAATTTCATATACCCTACTGTGCATATAGATGTTACCTTATCGGTTTTAAGAAATGTTTGGCTTGACTCATTTGGACCTAACCGCTAAAAAACCAAAAACAAAATTTAAAAAAGACGGAACAAACTGGTTCAGATGTTTGAAAGAACATTTTGTTTATATCTTAAAAGAAGTCATAAGCTTATCAATTTTGAGGAAAGGGCGTAAAAAGATGGAAAGTTTACAAACAAAGAAGATACCATTTAGGCAGATAGTTAGACATCATAATCTCTGTATCAGATGATAGGTGACTTTTTTTGGAATGGGTTAACCAGTAGTATTCATTGAAATGAATGAGGCCCTCAAAATCTAATCCTCATTCAACACAACACCTGGCCTCCCTACACATCGAATATAATCACGACTTCCCCCAACAGTGTCACTAAGTAACATTATAGTGTAATCAATTTGTTCAGAAAGAAATGAAACCAAGCAGTAAACTTTAAGAGAAGGAAGTGCCTAAAACCAGTACTATATTCACAATGGAAACATGTATGACCACTAGCCAGACAATTCCTCACAAAATGAAACAGAGAAAACAATCATGCTAATGAATTATCAAAGACAACATATAGATAAATTTAACATATTTCAGGAACTTTCCATCTTATAAACCAATTTAGTAGCGAATTCGGTTTCATCAGTAGCAGAGGATCTCTAATCACACACCACACAATTTACAGATGATAACTAAAGAATTAAGATAGTCCAACCTTATCTGTAGCAGTAACAACATAAGCAACATTCTCCTTATTCAAATTCTGCAAGTTTAAAAATATCTATCCAGGATACAATTGTTCTTGAATTTAGTTTCACAAATATTAAAGTAGCCACACACACACACACACACACACAACACATACACACATATACCCGTCACTCTCACACGCACGCAGGCACAGATCTTTGTAAATATGCACAGATCTGGGCATATATGCGCAGATTTGTGTCTTCGTTTCTGGGTTTCACAGATAGCAAGCAAGAGAGAAAGAGAGGGTTTTGATTCGTCTTCGTTTGCAGAGCACCATCAGTTCGTCTTCGTCGTTGAGAGCTTCAGAGAAGAGAGAGTCGGTTCGTCTTCGTCATTGAGAGCTCCGGAGAAGAGAGAGTCGTTGAGAGCGGAGAAGAGAGATAGTTGATCTGTGTGGAAAAGAACAGAGAAAAAGACTCCTATTTATACTTTGAGAAATAAACGAGGATTTTGTGCCTAACAGACTCGAAGTTGAGATTTCATTTAATTAAGAACCGCGTGTTAACACAAATTTTTTATTTTTTTCTCAAATACAACGAAAACAAAAGAAAATTAAAAATAATTATCAAATATATTTTTATTTTTGACAAAAATTAAAAACAAAAACACAAAAAAAGAAACAAAAATATTTGCCAAACAGCCCGAAATTCTTCGAGTTTGGTTCAACTCTCTAAGTGGAACGAATCCAAGCCGTATTCTCGCACGTTGTTACGGCGTCACAACTCAAAAGTTTAAGTTGTTAGGAGGAGAACTGCATAATATCTTACAAGCATATATTGCGCCCCTTATTTTTTAGGGGTTGTTTTTGCACTCCCTGATAAACCGATGTGGAATTTGTTACATTTTCTCATTACTTTTAATTCGAAAAAATAATTTAGAGATTTATGGTTCGTTTGGTATGATAAAAAAATAGAAAAATAAATAAAACATCATGTTTGATAAGAAAGAAAAATAAAAAAGATGAAAAAATGGATGAATTAACTTTCTTTTTAATTCACCAAAATCAATCCCTCCAAGATCAAAAGAAAAATGGATGAAAACTTACTTATTTTGTTATGATGTATTTTATTTGTCTATATAACTTTTAATATATACATATATTATATATACATTAATTTCATATAAAAATATAATAATAAAATAAATTTTAAAATAAAATAAAAAAATATATTTTAAATTAAAAATATATATTTTTTTCATCTTAACTAGAGATGAAATTTTTTGACTCAACACAATGACATAATTCGAACTCGACATGAATTTTGTGACATGAACTTGATAACATTTTGACACGAACTTGAAAATGACCTAACATGTGAACAAGAAATATAAAATGCTCATATTCAGTTTAACCAGTCAAATTCAAAATTGACAACATTAACCCGTTTATTTAAAAATAAACACTTTCTCTAATTTTTCTCATTTATATGGTACCACAAAATTAACACGAAACCAACATGTTTTACTAGTATTATAGACAAAAAGTTAATTATTTGTAACTATTCATTAAACACCGACATAATTATTATATAAAAAAGATTTATTTATTTATTATTATTATATTTATTTAAGTTATTTTTTAGTTTATAGAAAAAATATTAATATGAATTCAATTAAGTGAAAATATAATATTATATGTGGGTCAATACGAATAGGAATACGAACACGATACGAAAATAAATAGGTCAACTCGCAATTTGACACAATACAATTAGTTAAATGAATTGAGTTAAGTTTGACTAATGTTCGACACAAACACGTAATGACTTAACACGAATCTGACACGACTCGATTGTCACCTCTGATCTTAGCCAGCACAAAAAAAAAAAAAAATTTAGTTATTTTTATTTTTCATTCATTCAACCAACACACAAAATAAAGAAAATGTATCATTCTTACTTTCCTTTCTTCAATGGTAAAAAATGTATCCCTTCTACTTTTCATTTTTTCTATCAAACAAACAGAGAATTAATAATTGTGATTATTAAATTATTAATGAGTTTCAACATTAAATTATGAATGAATTTCACCGCCATTAATCTAATAATCACGATGCAGTAAGATATGAAATTATGGCCCTAAATTATTTCTAAATAACTTCTCACGAGATGTGACGCCGTCATCGCATTCATCTCCATTCTGGAGTGGGTTGGGCCCACCTGCCCCGGACCACCCGCGTATAGTAGTACATCATGCTACACTGGATTAAACATTTCCATTCTTTTATCAAAAGTCTTCGTGTGGTTCGTTCCTTCACCCCCAAATCTGTCTCTCTTTCTCCGTCTCTCTGAGCTCCAATGGCGACCTTGACTCACCAAATCCTCCTCTCTCTCACAATCCTTCTCGGTCTCGTCGCGATCTCAGCCACTGCACGACCCTGCAAAACGCTATTTTTCATCTCCACCACCTCCTACTACCCTATCGATCAAGACCCTAATTTCCCCCTCCGAAACCCCAATAAACCTCGATTCCTCACTTTCCTTTACACCGACGTCCGCGAACCCAACCCCAAACCCACCTTCTTCATCGATCGCAGCGATATCGATGTCGATAAACGGCAAATTATCCCGGAATTATATTCCTCTGTGACCAATTCCATTCGTGACCGTACCAAGGATATTATGAGCGTTGTTGGGGCTTTGCTATTCGGAGTTGGTTGTGGAGCTCTTACTGCCGCGACTGTGTATTTGATTTGGTCGCTCTTCACACAAAATCGATTCGAATTTGAGGATTCTGATGATGACTTTGACAACGACAGCGATGTTGGTGATGATGTGAGCGCTAAGAAGATGGGGTATGTGGCGATTCCATCTGTTACCGATGCTGTCAAGCCTGCGAAGGACGTGGTGTGAGAGGTTAGGAATGTGATTTGATTTGGTGTTCTGTTGACTGTTGAAATTGTTGGATTCTTAAGCAGGTGAAACTGTCTGTAATCTTCCAACCTATGCATATATGTATAATGGATGCCCAATAATATGATTCGAAGCATTGAATTGTGCTGTTTTCCTCGTTTTATATGTGTGGTATATGATATTATGCTAATGTGTGTGTTTGTACTATGTTTATCTGATAATTATGCTTTAAGCTGTCATTTTTGCATTGTTCTGTGTTGATCTGCTGTGAGTTTTGTTTCAGATTTATCTTGATTACTGTTACATGACTCTGCTTGCTGCCCAACCTTGTGGGGTGTGTTTGGCTGGGCACAAAAGGATTGGATTGGATATTGATCCCAATCTTATTCAATCCAATCCAAAGTAATCCTGCCCAAGTTGAATCCAATCACATTATCCGATCCAATACTTGATTTGGATAGAAATGGTGGAAATTGTGGGTCCCATGCACATATCCAAATCAATCTAAATAAAATGGCCGTTGCACCCTTTGCAAGAAAATATAATTCAATTCTATACCAAATTTAGATGGGTAGCTATTGTGAGTGAATAAATAATATTTTGGAAATAATCAATAATAATAATTTTGAATGCTATTAATTAAGTTATACTTATGTGGTAGCAAAATTATGATTTAGTATATTAGATAAAGTGTAAAAAAAATTATAATATTTTAATATTATTTTATCTGTTGGTTTAACAACACAATATTGAACGAAGTTTTTTTTTTTTACACTTATCACTTAAGATTTTTTTTTTTTTTGAACAACTTCATCACTTCAGATTCATAGATGCATTTGAACATACTTGTGGAAGAACACAAACAGCCATCTGGAGTCAGATAAACATGGGGATGAGACAGAGATGGAAAATGAAGGAAAACAAAGAATGAACAAAAAATATAAATATGTTGGCTGGGTATGAACCAACGGCGGGTAAATGGATACGGCTTCGGAGAGAGACAGAAACAATGACTGTGGGAGAGACAGAGAGGGAGAGAAAAAAAATCAATAAATAAATATATTTAACGATGAAAAAAAATTTCCACTGTGACCATCGCCGGAAATAGCCTACCCTTCAGAATTATAAAGTTCAGAGGGAGAAAGAGAGATAGCGACCGGATGAGAGAACAGAGGGGAAGAGAAAAAAAATTCAGTAAATAAATATATTTAACAGCAAAATTATGATTTTCGATCGCCAAAAATGGCCTACCCGTTGGAATTACAAAGTTTAAAGAGATAGACAAACAGACAACAAGAGTGAGAGATCCTCCAATGAGCGAGCTCCTCGAGTAATAGACAGAGAAACAGCTCCCTTCATTGAGTGAAGAGAGATAGAAGAGAGAAATACCTGTTGAAATGTCTGGATTGGGTTCTCGGAGGCGGTGAAGGTGAGGAAGAGATGCAAAAATGAGTTAGTTTGTTGGAGGCCGAGAAGGTGAACCGAAGAAGACAAAAAAGGGATAAAAACCCTACATTGGTTACTGTACAAGGGCATTAATGTAAATACATGCTCAATCCGGTCTGTGGGCTTATTAATCCCAAAGTGCAGGTGGGATATATTTAAGTGGGTCAGATGGGATAAATGGCCTCAAACACTACGGGCCGCGGATTTGAGCCAACGTTTATCCCATTCACAAAAGTTGATCCAAATCAGGGATTTGTGGGCCACCGGATTATGTAACCCAATCCAACTAGGGGTTATTGCCCTTTATCTCCTGGGCCAAACACACCCATGGTGTTTAGAACGTACTATTCTTCAGTACTTAACTAGCTAAATTGGATTAGCGTTTTTGGGGTTGTTTTTGTCATTACACATTGGTGGTGGGGATATACAGGTCATAATTGGTTAACTATCTCGACGAGTGCTTCTGAGATTACAGTAACATAATCTATGGACACTTGACTGAATGTGTAGTGATGCTAGGCGACGAGCGTAGGAGAGAAATTCTCTCTCTTATTCTTAGTGTGGTAGCCTCACTTGCTTAACTTACCGGTAGTTCCCAAGGCTTCTTCGAAGTCTTTCATGTAGTTTTCTCTTTCTTATAAGCAGGGGAAGAACCCATAGAGGGAAGAGTGGCCCTTTGGTAACACAAGATCATACTGCAATTTATTTCTTGTTGATGTGTGGTGCGTTGTGATTGGTGATTTACATTAAGCTACTGGCAATATGACCATTTATATTCCATAGGATTATAGTGGGGTGATATCGGGCCTCCCATCAGTATGTGTTTTTGTTTTGTGAAATTAACTAAGAGAAGGATTAGCGTTTGCTAGATTGCGGCTGAGTACTCTTTGATGGGAAAATCTCCTAAAAATTATGCATTTTGAGATTCAACTTTCCAGATGAAGGTTGTGCAGTTTTATTCCTTACGGAAAAAAAAAACACAGCTTTGTTGCTAGCTTCTACAAACAAATATGCATGCTCTTTTCATAGGCGTAGTTATCTTGAGTCTAAATTTGAGGTAATTTAGATGTAATAAATCTACGCCTCCATTTCATTGAAGTCCTCTAAGTTTGTTTCATAGTTCAAGGTTTTGTGCAATAACCAGTGATGTTGTTAGTTGTCACAATTGTTAGCAAGATACAATGGGAAGTGAGGGACAACTGTCTAAGAATTTGTCATTTATGAGGTATTTAGATGTAGGACTGGCTATAAAAAAAGAGCTTATAAGTGACTGTGAATAGTAGAATAAATGTCAGGAATTCCATTGCACCGTTTTAAGGGCCTGTTGATGCTTTTATATTCTATCAAAAACGCCAATACAGTTTATAGTTGTCTTAGATTCATGCCTTCGCACATTGTCTTTAGATACTTTTGTGGTGTGCATTTGGGATATTTGTTTGATGGTCTAATTTACTGCTATTTTGTGTGATGTTAGTTTACGTCAGTTAGTTTGCGTATTTCAGTTGAGAATTGAAGAGGAAATGTACTGGAGAGGATATTATTCCGTTAATCTTCTGACCATTTTGTATTGAAAAAATCTGTAAAAGGAATATTTTGACGTTTTGAAACATATGGGTAAGGTTATCTTTCAAAGTTATGAAGTTAGTTCACTTTGCCAATAAGGTACTCAAACTGACCCAAAAGAAAGAAAAAAAAATGTTCATTTATGTATTGTATTGTATAAATCAATGAAAACATGTATGCAATTTTGTAATAACGTTTGAACATTATACGTACTTAAACACTTAAATAGATTCATGTATACACATTACAAATATGCTTCTTAAATGAATTGGAAAAATAACAATTAAAAAGAGAAATGTCTATCAATTAACCACTGAATACTACAAAACATGAATACAAATATAGATAGATTCCAGCTTGAGGACATTATTAGAGAATTTCATAATATTAAGCTCTAAAAGAACAATTTAACAAGATATCGTCGTGAACTTTTCTTCTCAATGTGTTTTATTTCTGTTACTTTTTTTAGTACTTTTTAAGTACAAGTTTATTTTTTGTATATTGGTTTCATTTACCATATATTTTTAAACACTGAAATCTACTAGGTATACTTTAACTAAATTAGAGGATATTGTGGAAGTCACTCTATAGCAACGGATGGTAGCAAGAGATGTTTATACACACACACACACATTATACATATAGGGTTGGGAATCAGATTGGGTCATGAATCTGAATTGGGGCGCCAATGTCAAAAAGATGTATGTATTAAACCATTAACAGGTAAATCTCTGCAGGATGTGCATCTTCATGACATCTCTGACATCAAATTATATAGAAGACTTTTCTATTTGTAGAAATCAGGTGTTGACTCCTTGTGTAACAACAATATATTGCCATGAGAAGACACAGGACTGTGATTTCAGAGTTGAAGGAGTACATATACGTAGAACATCCATCAAGATCTCGGGGATTAAAACAAATGAGATACGAGTTTGATCCTTCCCTTCCAAACTAGGTTATGATTCCCAATATAGAGGACATAAGAGAGATGAATTTTCAGAGATAGAAAAAAGGAGAGCTCAACTAAAATGAAAAAGAGAGACAATATGCCTAGGGTGGAGTTGGAAGTGGAGGTGAAGGTAGAAGTAGGTGGGATCGAGGTGGAGGGAAATAAGGGGTAGTGGGGTAAGATATGTTTGTGTTGGTGTATGCGTATGAGTGAGTGAGTGAGTGAAGAAAAAGATGAGGCTGATGAAGAGTAGGAACTTGAGTGTTCGATCAAAGGAGCAATGTTTAGACAAGGAATAAAAAATGTTTGGATAAAGGATTGTTTAGCTGTAGGTTCAAGGTAAGAGTAAAATTTGAAAAATAAAAATTCCATTCTCTCTGTTTTTTTTTTTTGAGATCAGACTTTGATCGACTATTTTATCCTTGTAAAATAGTATATAGGCCCTTGTATTCATTTATAGTTAACTATTTAAATTATTTTTATATTTTTCTATAGTTAATCATTCAAATTACTCTTGAACAGATTTTATTATGTATAAGAAGACAATACTAGATGAAGTACCATATCAAAAACTATAAATTTGTGTTAAAATATAATTTTTTTGGATACAAATTCTATAAAAGAAAAATACATCATAACAGTTTAATTGATCCTAAAAAAAATCAAACTTCAAATGTCAAGTTATATATTTTTCTTCAAATATTTAATTAGTATTGATCCTAAATGTTAAGTTCAATCCTAAAATTTTAGAATCGATTTCAACTACCTCAAAAAAATATGAATTAACTTTCTAATATTATATTTTGTTATATGGTCCTAAAAAAAATAAATATAAAACTATACAATAATCCTAATCTTATAATTTATCTTTATATACTATATACTCTATATAAATGCCAACTATCTTGAAAAAAAAATTTATCTTCTATTTTACCCTGTTTTAATATTTTATGGTCAAAATTTTATTCACCTAATAACTACTGTACTTTCAGAATTAGGCACTTAAAATTATGAAATAAAAGTTTTATAATGGTCACAA